AGTAGTAATATTTAACCACAGTCACTTTTGAAGAATTTAATTTTATCTGTTCTTCCTATTCCCTCCTAGTATTTATACAGAATGCAGAGGAGTGTTGACTGCTGGAAGCAAAATGCTATTCATGGTCCCCGCCCAGGGTGTGGAGTGCTGTTCCTACTAGACTCTCACAGTACTGGTTCCAAGTCCATCTCTCATAATTGGGAATGTGCTACCAACCCACACGGCAATGAAAGACAGGGAGTGTGGGGTAATTACATACAAGAGAGACGGTGACGGATACTTCTACTATAAAACAGATGGTATGTCCGATTTTGAGATGGAGTAGAGAGGTGCAAAAAAGATACTAGGAACAAGGAAAAAAGGGAAAAAGTAGACTGGGACAGTCCTCTGCTGAGGGGAAAACTGAAGAGTCACATCAATTTTACAAGTAGTTTCCACAAGATAAACCTGTTATGTTTCTTCCTGCCCCTTCCTTACTGCTTTTTAAATGTAGAAAACTATCTGAAAGATTAAGTATTAACTTAATAATTATAGAAATAATCTTATATTTATAATTTTTAAACTTCAACTATAGTTTCTTTCTCAGGGTCTTTTCTCTTCCTTTCTTATTTTGTTCTCAAGGAAATCAGAGCACTCAATGCTAACCACTGCATTTTGATAGCTTACATTCTTATTTCACTGGCTACAGGATAACCATCTTATAAGATCCTACTGTAGGAAAGCCCCATTAAGACACTATCTACCACAATAGAGCATGCAACACCATAGAGCTCCATCTTAACCCCTATCCAGTGTGGTTTGCTGCAGAAAGAACCAAAAGTGCCTGATTTGAGCCTTTTTAAAAAATTATACTATCTTGTTTTACTGTATTAAAAATTATATAATTTTATTAGGAAGAGACTTAAGGGGTTTGTTAGGTGGTTAGAGTTGAATGCCCAACCTTCCAGTCAGTAAAGAATTTTCCAAATAATGTATCTGAAATGTATCTCGTTTCTGCTTGAAATCAGAATGGCAAAGTGGAAAAAATCTTATTCTGGGTTTCAAGAGATCTGGATTCTAAATACAGCTCTGTTATAAATTATGAATTATGTATCTCCTTTGGCAAACTAGCCTACTCTGGGCTTTTGAAAGTGAGATGTTTGGTTTAAATAGCATCCAGATTCCTTCTAGTACCAAACTCTGCTCTCCCCTGTGTTAGCTGGCTGGTTGATGTTAGCAGCTAAGGAAATGCTATAGAGGTGATTTATGTAAAGGCTCCTTTCAAGAGGATGGACTAAGGAAAGGGCTATACATCTGAGGTTAAAGCAGACAACTGTCTTCCTTTTTTTTTTTTTTTAAATTTTATTTATTTGAGAGAGGAAAGGAGAGAGAGAGAGAGCAGGGGGAGGAGCAGAGGGAAAGGGAGAAGCAGACTCTGCACAGAGCGTGGAGCTGGACGTGGGGCTCCATCGCACAACCCCGAGATCATGACCTGAGCCCAAATCAAGAGTCAGATGCTTAACTGACTGAGCCACCCAGGTGCCCGAGACAAATGTCTTTCCTATTAGTTCAATGAGCCTCCTTACATGCTTAAAAGGACAAACCCAAATTTGGCAGTTACTTCTCTTCCAATTGCTGTATTAACCCAATGAACACTGGAACACATCTTTTTTAAAAAATCAGGAAGTAACACAGAATTGGAAATTCTCAGACTGGAGTTTTGAAATCTAGATGGAAATCCACAGTCTCCCATAATGATGGAAATTCTATCATTAACTAGTTACGTGGTCTTGGGTAAGTTATTAAATCTTCATGAGCTCAGGAATATGTACTCCAAGACCTCTTCTAATTCTGTAATTACTCATAGCCAGTAGCAACTGACAGATTTAAAGATCACAAAAATGGTACAGAGCACTATTAATATTTTTAAATGGCTTAAAACAAGAATATTTAAAAAGAAATGTGTACATAAGCAACATCCACTGTTCTGCTTGATTTCTCACACATAAAAGGGATCTGTGGGGGCGCCTGGGTGGCTCAGTTGGTTAAGAGACTGCCTTCGGCTCAGGTCATGATCCTGGAGTCTCTGGATCGAGTCCCGCATAGGGCTCCCTGCTCAGCAAGGAGCCTGCTTCTCCCTCTAACCCTCCCCCCTCTCATGTACTCTCTCTCTCTCATTCTCGCTCTCTCAAATAAATAAATAAATCTTTAAAAAAAAAAAGGGATCTGTGGAGCCTACTTTTCGTGAGAACTAAATGAGATAAACGGGATTTGTATTGTTTTCTACTCTCTTTTTTGTATACTAGCTAAAATTTTTATATTAGCAATCTGCACTTTTGTTTGAGCAGCTAACATAAATTATCTCACTTTTAGAAAATGCACAGCATAAAACCAGCAAATTACTCAACTAAATAACTAAGAATTACTGCTTTTGAATTCCAAACATCAAACATTCTTTCTGAAGAATACCTTTAGTCTAAAGCAAATATAATTTATTACTACTTGTAAGTTACTATATGATAATGGAGTTTATTTAAGATGGTGTAAGCATTTCCATGATAAACCAACATTTTCGAAGTGTTTGTTTAACTTGGTTATAAAATACACTCTGGGGGAAAAAAATTAAAAAAAATACACTCTGGGGAAAAATGGGTAGGTTCTTTGTGAGAACAAATGCTTTTGAAAACTTCAATAGCAAAGAAAGATTTCAGGATGAAAATGGTATCAAACAATTCAAAGCATATTTTATTTTTAAGAAGAAATCTTTTCCTTTTCTTTTCTTGTATCTCTTGTAATGAATATAACATTTCTAAATTTGGAAGTTAGGTTTTGTAACAAGTTGCCATTTTTAATAAATAAGGGTCAATAATATTATATACCATCTTTGCAGATATATATGCATATTTGGAAACAAGCTGTAAACAAGTTGGTCTATTTGAGTTTCTTTAACACAGGTGCCTGCACACATTCCCTGTGCAAACTAGGACGTAGTTCGGCTTAATACTCACTTTATGGGTAATCAAAAAAAATCACCTATTCAAACAAAATATATCAGACTAGTGTAGCATAACTTAATGCATTAAATATATATTTCCATTAGTGTTTGATTTCTTTACTGTTTAACTGTCAAAGCAAGGTTCAAGTGTAAAAAAACACTTTTCTCAGACTTCACTAGTTCATACTACTATTAATTTATCAAATATTAAGTATGTCTTTTAAAACACACACGTGAACATAAGAACATGGTTTAATTTTTAATATTCACATGTTAAGAAAGTATATTACTCAATTTCTTGAATGTTAGAAATAGTCATCTACATCAGTATGTAGCTTCACTATACTCTGAGACTATCACAGTTTTATCTATTTGAATAATTAAGGGTTTGGGGGTTTTTTCCACATTGGGCAAGAATTCTTCACATAAACGTCTCTTATGTTCATAAGAAGGTCAGGCTAAGTTATTATTCATATGCTAGTTGTTGTGCAACATTAAATAATCATGAAGTACAACTTCTGAAAGAGAAGACTTTAAGCTACAGAAAATGCCTTTCTGCCACAACTCTAAAAGCTTACTGATCAGAGTTAAACAATGAAATCATGCATATAGCAAATTTCTAAGGTATTTTCTGTCCTTAAAAGTTTTCAGATCAAGATTATATACAATCATCTCATAAAGCTGGCTAATGTTTTCTTTAAATGCACATATATACATACCCATAATATCAATTAAGTGTTCAATAATTTCCTTTATAATTTTAAATTCATCCCTAATTTGCAATTCCTGAATTGAAAAAAAGCAAAGCTTCTTTTACTAGAAGTAAAGCATAATGTGTAGAGTATATTCAGTCCAGAGCTATGCTTACGCCTAAGTAAAAGAACAAACCTTTAGCAGAGCACTTTAAAGGTATTTTTGATCTATGTGATCAAAAATATTCCACTGGAACAATGGCCTTAAAAATGAATTATGACCCTTGATTATGCCACTACTCTTGTTGAACTGGAAACACCTTAAATTTCTCTTTCAGCTATGTCCCAAAGTTTGTCTACAAGATAAAGGGAGATAACAAAACTTTTAATCTTCAAAAATGTAGAGATTAGATTGATAATTCTAATTTTGTTTTCTCTTCCATTTATTTATGTTAAAAATTGCCTCTCTCCATGTCTAACACGTAATTTTAGAGGTTTGTGTGCCAATCAGGTATTTTTGAACCAGAACTCTGCCCTGCAAATAAGAATTTATCATTGACAAAGTTGTTTTTTAATGTACCTCATATTAATATTGTAATAATTTGATTTGTTAATCACTTTATATTCATTACCTAATCTACTTTTGTTAAGCCCATTTTACAGATGGAGTAACTTACACTTGGAGAGATTAAGCCCAGTTGCTGAAGGAAGGATCACGTAGCTACTGATGCAGTAAATAATTCAAACCTAGGCTGTCTGACTCTATATCTATAAACCTAAATACCATGACTTTTAAAATACAGATTTAAAACTTCATTCCAAACCAAATAAATTATGATCTCCAGGAGTTGTGTCCCTAAGTTTTTTTTTTGAGATTGGTGGTTTGGGAACCAATGCACTATCACCAGGCTACTCTGCCTCCCTAGGATTGCTGATTTTTATTAACTGCCTCTTATTTCCGTGAACCAGACCTTTAGGGAAGCATCTTTTGAGAGTGCAAGATACACAGTGCTGGGGAGGATTAAAAAGAAGTAGAAAACATGGCTCCTGCCTTGAGAAGTTTACAGTCTAAAAACATGCTACCCAAAATATTGAAGGGCTATAAAAGTGCCTGGACTGGGATGCTTACTAGAGATGACTGTGTGGGAACAGTGTAGTTTGATTAGGGTTTTGGTGGAAATGAGGACAGAAACTGACAAAGAGACTAACCTGGGTATAAAGCTTTGGCAGTGGAAATAAACTTGTGTAATGGTTTAATAACCCTTCTTTATTTCAAAACACAATTTTAAATATTTCAATTCAATCCTCTCTCAAACCCATTCAAATTTACTAACCTTCTACATTCATGGCTTCTCTCAGAACCTGAAGTTTCTTTTGTCTTTCTCGAATTCGGTCTAAAGCACTTGATATTGCTGAGGAAGTGGGCAAATCTCGCATGTGAAATGCTGGATCCACTTTCTGAGGGCCAAAGATATCCAAGGCTATGCTTCCATCTGAGTATCTTGCTTCCTTTTTTCTAGGAGTAGTTGAAGTCCGCACCGTTACTGCCTCAGGGAGATATTGCTGGAATCCACCAGTTTCCCCAGAGAAGTCTCTGTCAGCTGTGCAAAGCAAGTCCATGGATGAAGCCCAAATCTTCTTCTTGGGAGGCACATCAATACCAGGGAAAGTTTTTTTTTCTGGGCCACTAGTTTTGAACTGGTAAGGGGAGCAGGCATTTTCAGAATCTTCGTGTCCAGAATTATTATCTGATGAAATGTCCTTGAAATAATCTTCCTCATCTTGTGTGTCTCTGATGGACAGGAATCCCAAAGATTTACTAAGCCCTTTGTTAAGAAAGGTCTGATGAGAGAATGGAGACTTGTGTATGTCTAGTACATCAGAAGTAGAGCTTCTTCCTGGAATGATAAGAATCTATCATGTATGCACAGAATTTTTAGAAAATAACTGGAATGTAACCTTACTATTGACAGTGAAAGTGCTGGTAATTTCCTAAGTCTTCCTAATGGAGGATCAGAGATGAAATGGATGGTAGTGATCATGAAAGTGGAAAGAGACACTTTGTTTGTATAACTTTTCATAGTCCAATGTTTCTTACTCAATGAAAACTATAATGTATTGAACTTACTTTTTTGAGTAATAGTATTTTATATTCATCAAAAGTGAATTATTTGGTTTTTAAAAATAGACAAAAGTAAAAAAAAAAAAAAAAGCAAAAGTTTCTAATACTATCCAGTTTGGCAGAATATTAATCTAATCCATGAAATGATTTGGGGTAATAATAAAATGTAGAGTATACTCCTTTAACTTCTAAAGATATAATTCAAACATATATCACTTCAACATAAAGCCCTGGTATTTTCTGGTCATTTAAATATTTTTAAAGAAGAAACAAAGAATTCTTGCTATATTCTGGATGAAAAAAAGATTGCAGTATTTGGAATTCTTAAGTATCAAAGTTTTATTATGAATAGATATGTTTTCAGAAAACTTGATATAATCTGGGGCACCTGGGTGGCTCAGTCGTTAAGAGTCTGCCTTTGGCTCAGGTCATGATCCCAGGGTCCTGGGATCGAGCCCCGTATCGGGCTCCCTGCTCAGTGGGAAGCCTGCTCCTCCCTCTCCCACCCGCCCCCCGCTTGTGTTCCCTCTCTCGCTGTGTCTCTGTCAAATAAATAAATAAAATCTTTAAAAAACAAACAAAAAACCAGTAAGCCATCCTAATTTTTTTTATGGCACCAGTCTACAAATGCATTGAGACACAGCAAAATGCCCAAACAAATTAATTTTTGGAATTCAGAGTCAGTAACACAAAAAATCATATATATATGTGTCTGTGTGTATGGCTCCACTATAGGAAAAGAAATGTAGAAAAATACTTGAGAGTTACTAACGCAAAAGCCCATAAACACTGAGGATTTCCTGTGTGACCTTCTGTGATCCCTCTTTGATAACTTATCTGCTATGTATACAATATAAAATAATGACTAAAACTTCCCTAGTAATAATAAATTGCTTAGTAATTCATTTGAGTAAGTCAATTTCCTCTTCAGGGTGATAGCTGTAAGTTTCAATTCCCTGACTCCACATTTCACCTTAAAGATCTTAGAAAAGAGAATTCATTTCAGAATGGTCAACAAATAACTGCTTACTGGAGAATTAGATTCAAACATTTTGCTTTTCTTGTAACTCATCTTTCCCTGAACACGGATCCACTGAAGTGCAAATAAGGATAACACCAATATTTGGGCATGTCATATAAAGAACACTGAGAAAGTAACACCACAACTAGACAAAGATTGTCACAGACTTTAGCTTCTAATCTAAGATAATTTAAAACTGATAAACACATCTATATTATAGTATTTTAGGAGTAAATTACATTCTTAAACAAACCACATATTGAAACTCATTAGTTTAAAATTTTATTAAAAAATAGAGAACAGAGATATTCTTGAAAATAGAATACATGAGGTAAAAAATAAGAATTGAAAGGACTTAAGGATCATACAACCATAGATGAACTCAACAACCTGCCTTCTTTTATACTGCCTTGACTCCCAACAAGTAGCCAAAACTTAGAGAAAACCAAACAAGTGAGGGTTTTGGCAACATCATAAATTCATAGTCAAAAGCCTTGGACACTCAACATCAATGTGTTAACAGTAATTTCACTCACTCTCCATAATGCTTCACTTTCCCTCATTCTTCAAATTCCCCACATTAATTCCCTCTTCTTTTTTCTGATAATTTTCTCTCATATTTCATCAAGAAAACAGAATCTTTCCAAAAAGAACTTCTCATTTTCCCATGGCTAATTCTATACATCTACCCCTGTCTGCCAATCTTTTCCCTTGTCTCAAAAGATGCAATTTTCTACCAGTTGAAGCCTGATTCCCAATATGTGTTCAATCCCCCTCTTATTTTACGTTATCAGAGATTTTACTTCTTTGGTTAACGTCTGCCCTCGATCTTAATTAACCCCCTTTTCTACTGAGTCATTGCCATTAGTATACAAACGTGCTTTAATATTTCTATAATAAACAAAACCTCTCCCCTGTTAACACATTCCCTTCTAGCTCCTGCTGTCTCCGATTTCTTCTTTCCCATTAGTATTCTACTCACTTGAGTCAACTTCCAACTCCTCCACACCTTGGCAACTCTCACTGTGTCAAACTAATGGCCTCCATGTTGCTAAACCCAACAGACATTTTGCATCTATATCCTACTTACCTCTCAGCAACGATTGATGGTGATGACAGTTACTTAATGAAGCACTTTCCTCTCTTTACAAGACTGGTTTTCTTCTACTTCTTAGACTGCTCATTCTTAGTCTTTGCTTTTTCCTCCTCTATTGGATATCCAAATGTTGGATTTCCTCAGGTACCAGTTTTAGAACCCTATCTTTTCACTCTCTTCTTGTATAATTTCATCTACTAACAAGGCTTTAAATAATTAACTACATACAGATAACTCCCAAATTTATATTCTTGGCACCAATGTCTTCCGGGAGCTCCAATCCCATATAATTGAGACTTCCACTAGCATATCTTAGAAGCACCTCAAACTGAACATGCTTAATACTATTTCTTGTTTCCCAAAACCAGAGATATCCATTCAACCCCAATCTTTCCAATTTCAGTAAGTGGCATCACTATCCAACTGATTGCTCAAAACAGAAATATGGGCATGATCCTGAAATCCTTCATCATCCTTACTGCCTGTATCAAATCCATCAGAAGTGCTGGTTATTTAACTTCTCAAAGATATCTTACTCCAAGTGATTATTTGCATTTTCATTGGCATCACCCTATACCCAGTTAACATTATCACTTGACTAGAAAACTGCAATGGCTTCTGGATAGGCCTCCTTTCTTCACCCAACTACCTCTCTACTCAGCAGCCAGTGTTATCTTCTCAAAATATAAATTCCATGACGCCACCACCCTTTTAAATAAGTCTCAAAGGCATACTATCGCACTCAAAATAAAAACAAGACTCCTTTCAGATCTGCCATTTGAATCTTTTTTAGTCTCCTCTCCACTTCTTTCATTCCATCCAGGCCACAGGTTTTCCTATTAAGCTCTCTTATATGTTAGGACCTTTTATACATACTGTTTTCTATGCCCTGAATGGTCCAGACTTTTCTCATGGTTAGTTGTTTCTTATTCTATACTTTTATTTTAAATATAACTTCTTCAGTGAGGACTACCCCAACCACTAATGAAATAATCACTTTCCAAGTGTATCATGAGTCTATTGCATTTCTAACAGGTAGATTTATCATTCTCTTGTAGGTTATTAGTATTTACTAACAATATATTAATGGGCCATGGTATCCTAAAAGAGCCATGTCTTCTCACCAGCCATATGAGACTTAAAACTAATTGCTGGGCGCCTGGGTGGCTCAGTTGGTTAAGCAACTGCCTTCAGCTCAGGTCATGATCCTGGAGTCCTGGGATCGAGTCCCGCATCGGGCTCCCTGCTCGGCGGGGAGTCTGCTTCTCCCTCTGACCCTCCCCCTCTCATGCTCGCTCTCTCTCTCATTCTCGCTCTCAAATAAATAAATAAAATCTTAAAAAAAAAAAAAAAAACAAAAAAAAAACAAAAAAAAAAACAAAAAAAACTAATTGCTAATAAGGTGGCTCTTGGATAACTACTGCTCTATAAATGCTAGGTTTTTGCTTTATGCAAATTAGTAGATATAATATTTCAGTTCTTATTTATTAGAAGTCCAGAAAGTTACACTTGATCTTAGCCAAAAGGCCAAGAAGTGATTTAAAAAAAAGTCCAGAAAGTTAAAGAGAAAAAAAAGTCCAGAACATTACCATTTTTAAGTTCTGTAAGGTAGTACAAAATTATAATAAAAGTAATTCATTTAAAAGTTTGCACTACCTTTCTACTCTGCTTCTACAAAATATGCCAAATTTAACTGTTTCTCAATTTGCTCTACATGCCTGAAAATCACATTATGATAGCCAACTTAAAGTCTCATGACCATTATTTATAAAGATGATTTTTTTGCTATAATAAGGTCTCTTCTGGTAGCCAATAAAACAAACGAATAGGTAAATAGGAAGAGGAAGAAAGAAGGGGTGGGGAGGGATTGATACTCCTGAGGAAAATGGGCAAAAAACTGTGGAGGTGTGAAACAAAGTTCAGAGGGCTATGTATATACTTGCTACAGATGGTCTGAAGTAAAATTGTAAGAGCTATGAGCCACAAAAGCATTAAAGGTTTAGAAACTGAGTGTGGATCACCTTTTGAAGGAAGAAAAAGGAAGTGGTAGGAAAGAGATGTTTGGGCCCCACAGGCCTGCACCTGCCTGAGGGTCAGGAAGGCCAGTCGTGCCTGATAGTGGGAGGTAGTAACCCCCGCTTCTCTTCCGCAGGTGGGAGAGTTAGACAGACTCTCAAAGAAAACACAGTGAAAGATACTGATATCAAGAGACTACTGTATACCCATCTTTTATGCATATTTTCAATGATCCTAAGCATCAGTCCATCATTCTTCTTGGAGAACTTCTCAATATTGGAAACACACTTGTGCACCTATTGTTTTTGTAACTACTGTCAGTCTAGTATTATATTTAGTAGTGAAACCAAATGCATCCTCTAAAAGAAGTTCATTATCATACAAGGTAACCAGATTTTTGAAATGCTGTTTATGTCATGTTTCTTCTTTCATGCAATTTTTGTTCTATACGTGCTGGAAACATTTTTATTTGCAGTTATTTTGTCTACTTTTCTACTGTACCTTGTTTATGTTTGTTAGAACCAAACATCAAAGCATGGATGGCTAAGAGTGTTCAGTAGAAATGAAGTCACATCCATTTGGGAGAACAGTCTTCAGATCACTACAATTTCTAGCTTTATAGGAACATGGCTTGGAGCCTCTCCTAGTCCACTCGATTGGGAAGGACCGTGGCAGATACGGCCCATCTTCTGTATGCTTAGAGTGACCTCTGGCTACATGGCTGGCCTTGTGATTTCACCACTCTGGATATACCGGACTAGAAAGCAACTTACACACAAGAACAATTAATTGGATGAAAGGGAAAGAAGATATTTCTTTGTGCAGATTCCATAAAGACTGTGCAGAAATATATATGGTCTAAGCCAGGCAGTTCCATTTATAGCACTGTTTTTTATGTAGTTATAACATGATGTGCTTGTAGCTTTTAAAAAAAAATTTTTTTATTTACTTACTTACTTACTTACTTACTTACTTGACAGAGAGAGAGACACAGCGAGAAAGGGAACACAAGCAGGGGGAGTGGGAGAGGGAGAAGCAGGCTTCCTGCTGAGCAGGGAGCCTGATGTGGGGCTTGATCCCAGGACCCTGGGATCATGACCTGAGCCAAAGGTGGACGCTTAATGACTGAGCCACCCAGGCACCCCGTGCTTGTAGCTTTTTAAACTATGAAACCCCTGAGAGATTGTACGTTCTGGTTGAAATGAAGTATTTATAATAGGAGAGGGAAAAAAAAAAAAAGGAGAGGTGTTTGGAGCTAAGTGGTTTCTCCAGCGGGTCTAATACCTTAGGAATGGTTTTGTTTGCTTTTTGGATGAAAAAGGAGACATACCTTTATCTAGGTAACAGAGAGGTGGATTTTGGCTGGTACAAACATACCCTTTTAAAATCACATTTTCCTAATCGGCAGGAGTCTCAATGCATTTTGTCATATCAATAATACTATCTTCAGCTATACAACTGAATATGGAATTGCATGATTAACACTTCACAAGTGGATAAAATATATATAACATCACATATCATATCATGGTTGCCTTGTATTGCTAAGCACTGTTGGAAAAATTTCACTAATCTGGGAACTAAAAATGAGAGTTCAAATATAGAATCTGGCCCTTTAAGTGAGGAGAAACAGGAATCCTAGACTCATTGCATAGGCTGCTAGACCAGTGAAAACCATGTACTGTTGTTAATACCAGTGCTACTTACTTACTAACTTGATTTGAGACTAGGTAAAATGCAATTTCTTCAACTGCTTTCCAAATCTTTCTAAACATGTGGTGGGCTATTATAATTACTTTATTTAACAGGCAATAAACAGCACTGAAATCATTAAGTACATCTAATAGCTGTGCTCACTACCCATTTTGATCACAGGAAGTTAATGTTATTTTTGAAGGCAATACCATTGGAGCTACTCTTAAAAGATTTCAGATAGAAACTTCTTTAATATTTCCCCATCCTGGGAGAGTTACTAGCTCCTTCCACTATTCTCACAGAGCACTTTGGCCCCCTCTTAGGACATTTCTTTCAATATATTAAAATTATCCATTATATTAGATATCTGTCATCACTCCCACTCATTTCCCCACTCCACCCCCAACTGGAACAGTAACATAAGAAACCATGTCTTACCTGTTTTTATATTTCTAATTCCTGATTAAAGACATTCCAAAACAACTCTTATGGAATGGATTGATTACATAACTTTTTGAAACCCTTTTAAAGCCAATTAAGGTAGCATAATCTACCAGAAAGATTACTGTCAAAACACCTGGGTTTTAATTCCAGCTTTACCAAATTCAACCCATGAGCTTGGGCAAGCCACTTAATTTCCATGTCTCTCACTTCCTTCATCTACAAAGCTGTGGACATTACTTATTATACCTTCTTCTTTTTTTTTTTTAAAGATTTTATTTTTATTTATTTGAGAGAGAGAGAATGAGAGACAGAGAGCATGAGAGGGAGGAGGGTCAGAGGGAGAAGCAGACTCCCTGCTGAGCAGGGAGCCCGATGCGGGACTCGATCCAGGACTCCAGGATCATGACCTGAGCCGAAGGCAGTCGCTTAACCAACTGAGCCACCCAGGCGCCCATTATACCTTCTTCTTAAAGAAGGCAGGATAAATGAACTAACACCTAATGAACTATCATGAGCTAGGACAACATAAAATTCTAAATTGCTCCTCCCTTTTGTTTCTGCTTTATTTTCCTCAGCATATCATTATCTACTCAGGGGGAATTTAAAAGTTCTTTTGAGAGGAAATCATGAAACCAGAAATCAAAAGATTTCCAATAAAAGTTCTAGATTCTGTTATTTAAAAAATCAAATTATTCAAAACAGGATAAATGGTGACTATAGGTGGATTTTCCATCTCTTGAAAAGGCTCTGAGTTCAAAGAGAGTTTACAAACAACATTAGATTTTACATACAATTACAAGGATCCAAATACAAAATGAAACCATAAACATGCTCCTTTTGGAGAATACTAGAGCTTGCTAAAAACTAATTGGGGGAAAAAGAAATAAAAATAAAAGATTTTAAAAACATAAAAAGTCTTCATAATAGAACATATTCCATTTATTTTAGTCAAATTGAAAAAAAAAAACTCCCTTTTAAAGTACACTGTGTTTTAACTATATTTGTTATATGTGACTAACATCATCCTTAATTGGGTATCATCATTCACCCTTCCCCTCACACAAGACTCAAAAAACTTAAGCATCTCTTAGAAGCTAACTTCAAAATGACATTTCAGTATTAAAGAGGTTCCTCGATTCCCCATTTGTCCTCACAAGTGTATTCAAGTACACAAAAAAAGAAACATGATATTGTCAATACGCCCAAGTTCTGAAGCACTATCATGCTGATCTGATCATGGTGTAGGTTTCCGCCTTAAGCTCGGGAGGAAATGTTTGATTTCTTTTTGCTGAGTGAAGCCATTTTATCAGCACTGGCGTATAAAATAACAAAACGGGGGCAGACAGCCCACTACTTCAGGCCTTACTTTTTGTAACAGATCTGAGAGGTAAGATGTAAGGAGAGACCTTTTAAGGTCATTGACTCATAGATTAAAAAAAAGTTATTGTTAAGTTTCAGGTGAATGATCAAATCACTTAGACACAAGGCAGTATCCCTAAAATTGTTTACTTCTTTTAACCTAATTCCATATCTCACTGTCCATCTTGACATTTTCCTTATTGAAAACTATGGCCAGGAGCCTAATAAACTAAAGCTATCAGTACATAAAGGTTTCAGGTTGGTTCGCATCAAAGAGAATGCTTTTGTACCAATGTAGTGTAACAAGACTCTTTGTTGCAAGTGACCTCTGAGAGTGAAGAACTGCACTGCCCAAAAGTAACACTGGGGTCCTAGAAAATAGTTCTTCACAAGGTCACTTTTTTAATCTTAAAGTTTTTATATTACATTAGTATATGCCATTGACTATAAGCTGCTAATTGCTTGTCTGGTAATGAGTATAATTAGTACATTATGTTGATTCTGTCTTTGAGATGTGGTTTTTTACATTTGTTAAATTTGTAAATTAAGACAGCCCTTGAGCAGTACTACTGTGTAAAGCAATGGCTAAGAAGAACTGAAGAATTCTCTTTTATTACACTTGATCTCAAAAAGGCTGTTGCACTTTAAGTGTGAGGACCTCTAATTTTACCCAAAATGTAAACATAAACAAAATTTGGTTTATCTTGAGTGAGAAATCATAATTCCTTACAAATTCTCTTGAGTTTAGATATAGGGGAGATTTAATTCTCCAATAAAGGGATAGGACTAACTCAACAAATAACAAACAAGCAAATCAACTTCAATTCTATAACATGGCCATTTAATGACAGTAGGAGATGATAAAAGGGAATTCCAGAAAGAAAGTAAAGAACAGGGAAGAGAAATAAGGAAGGAAGGGAGACAGAAATGGAGAAGCAGAGAGAGTGTGAGGGAGGGAGATGGATTGCTGGAAGGGAGGAAGAATTTAGAAACATGATAAATAAGAGAGACAGAAATCATTTAAATCTAACATTCACTTATTAAAGTATGCTCATTATGTCTCCTTGAAAAAGACTCTTTCTGCTTGCTATTGACATTTAATTATAATTTTCTATTATTATTCAGTTCTGAAACAGGAGTCTGAAAATTTGATGGATTAACAAAGTGCTGCTCTTCTTGGCACCAAGGTTCACACTATATCATATCTCCAATCCGAGGATCATTTAAAATAAAGGGAAAATGAGGGCATGTGTTGTGACGAGCACTGGGTATTATATGCAACTAATGAATCACTGAACACTACATCAAAAACTAATGATGTACTATATGTTGGCTAATTGAACATAATAATAAAAAAAAAATAGAGGAAAAGATTTTTATCTGCAAGAAGATGTGTTTATATATATATTTCCTTACTATAATTATGCCTCTCTCTAGATACACATGTATAGACAGAGTCTAAAATCAACTTGGGGGTTGTGATTCCCATTAATAAAAAGAACTAGAATAGAAAATAAAGTGCAGCAAAAATAATGTTGCTTTCTGAAACTTTGGTTTTTTTGTTTGTTTGTTTGTTTTTTTAAAGATCTTATTTATTTATTTGAGAGAGAGAGAGAGCACATGAGAGGGGGGAGTGTCAGAGGGAGAAGCAGACTCCCTGCTCAGCAGGGAGCCCAAAGTGGGACTCGATCCCGGGACTCCAGGATCATGACCTGAGCCGAAGGCAGTCGCTTAACCAACTGAGTCACCCAGGCGCCCCTGAAACTTTGTTTCAGTAGTGTTTATGTTCATAAACTTTGTTTCATCTTGCTTTAAAATATATTTTTAATATAAAATTCCATGATAAAGACAATAAAGTAAACAAATATTATTGCTAAAATAACAATATTGGAAAGGAAATGATTTACTGTGGGAGTTCTGTCTTAGTAATGTTTTTTGCATAATTTTAATGGATTTATATATTAATATAGTTAGTGTTCCTGTCTATTCCCTATCTCCACTTTGCATACTTATGTTCTAATTATGGTCACAATTATCAGATTCCCAAGCCAGGTAAGTATGATTTCATTAAAAGAAACAATGAAATAAGGTTAAAACTTAAAAATTTCCTATTAATATACGCTTACCTGTTGGTAATCCTTTCCCTCTCAATCGGTCTCGAATAGCTTGGCTTCGATCAGGCTTTTGTTCACTGTTACGGGAAAGTTGATCCGTCTGTACACAGATAATCAAAAATTAAATTTGACGAAACAATCTCCCTTTCATTTTCATGGTAATTATCTACAGAATGTCACTAGTTAGACAATTTTTGTGGAGTATGGCATTGGTAAAGACACTCCACATTGGCTATTGTTAATTTGTTTTTCTTTATAGGATTTATGTAGCTCAGTTCTGGCCAATTCATCTTCAGGAAATGAAAGGCAAGACAGAGTTGTAGAAGAATTATCTGCTAACTGGGTAACAAAGTTAGCCAAACTGATGTAGTTAAAATGAGTTCCATCTGAAAACAGTAAACTAGAGGAGTTCTTTTTTCCCTAATTGGTAACTACGTTAATCTCTCAAGTTCGATTATGATTTTAAAAACACATTAATTCTGCTATAATAAAGGTTTCTCCTGATTATAACCAAGCACTGAGGGTACTGACATAAATTATTTTCAAAAGTAATTTTCTAGATTTTTCCTGCCAGGAATTACATTTGAGAAATGTTTTAAACCAATGGACATATTGAGGGATGACAATTAAATTTAAATCAATGTTCCTTTGAATCTCCTTTATAATAAAATGTTTGAATAATCTTTTTTTTATTATTAAAGATGTTTATTTATTTATTCATGAGAGAAAGAGAAAGAGAGAGAGAGGCAGAGGCAGAGGGAGAAACAGGCTCCATCCCTCCCTCAGCAGTGAGCCCGATGTGGGATTCGATCCTATGACCCTGGGATCATGACCTGAGCCGAAGGCAGACGCTTAACCATCTGAGCCACCCAGGTGCCCCAAAATGTTTGAATAGTCTTAAGCTTTAATAACTTTAACTGAGGGTACTCATTTAAAATAAAGCATATCATTTTCTTCCACCCTAGCTGTTTGAACCTTGGCTGCCATCATGAATGACACAGTAACTATTCAGACCAGGAAGTCCATGACCAATGGACTACTTCAGCTGAAACAAATGGTCATTGATGTTCTTCATCCAGGAAAAGCAACAGTACCTAAGACAGAAATTCGGGAAAAACTAGCCAAAATGTACAAAACCACACCAGATGTCATCTTTGGGTTTGGACTCAGAACCCATTTTGATGGTGGCAAGACAAGTGGCTTTGACATTTCGGTGGATTATGCAAAGAAAAATGAACCCAAATACAGACTTGCAAGGCATGGCCCATATGAGAAGAAAAAGACCTCAAGAAAACAGCTGAAGGAACATAAGAACAGAATGAAGAAAGTCAGGGGGACTGCAAAAGCCAATGTTGGTGCTGGCAAAAATAAATAAAATGTCTAGCAGTGAGCTGGCGATTGGACAACAGAGAAGGAGTAAAGATTCTGCAGTGACTTTATCTGTGGTGATTATGCAGATTTTCATGAGAGGATTAATTAACAAAGAACTTTTAAAAAATTAATAAAATAAAAAAGGATATCAGAGGGGAGGTATGTGAGTTGATGGGTGAAGTACGCAAAGGGGATTAAGAGTACACTTATCGGGCGCCTGGGTGGCTCAGATGGTTAAGCATCTGCCTTCGGCTCAGGTCATGATCCCAGGGTCCTGGGATCGAGTCCCACATCGGGCTCCCTGCTCCTTGGGAGCCTGCTTCTCCCTCTGCCTCTCTCTCTCTCTCTCTCATGAATAAATAAAATCTTAAAAAAAAAAAAAAGAGTACACTTATCATGATGAGCACTTGAGCACTGAGTAATGATGTATAGAACTGTTAAATCACTATATTGTATACCTGAAACTAATCTAACACTGTATGCTAACTATACTGGAATTAAAAATAAAAAATGTATTAATGGGGGAAAAAGTGTATTACTTTAAAAAATTAAAGTAAAAGTGTATCAAATCTGATCAAATTCCACATTATAAGGGATGAAAAATTAGAACACTGGGTTTAGTTAGATGATCAAGTAGAGCAGAAGCTTCAGGAAATAAATGGAGAGATGATGATGAAGAGAAATTACTTAAATCTGACATCAAATGCATGCGTACGTATTTGCTTACAAACATATATACACAATCATTTTAATATTCCTCCATTAGTGAAACTTGCTTGAAACCTACTTATGGTAGTAGTTTAAGGTAGTATATTCAAGGTATTATGTTTCCTACTTCTAAAAAGACTTAAATGGAAATATTTCTGGAATGATGTCATCCTTTAAATTACATAAATGATATTAGTAGTGTATTGCACTATGTTGTCAGTAACTTAAGAGATAAGGCACATCCTGCATCTTTGGGAATCCCTGCATTGACAGTACTATTAGTAATAGCTGCCATTTATTGAGCAATTACTATAAAGCAGGCACTGCTTTAGGTGCTTTACATACTTTATTTAATCCTCAAAACCCCTTATGTGGTAGGGTTATTATCCTTGTACTACAGACAAAGAGAGAAATAGCAAAAAAAAAAAACAACCCAAAAACAACAACAACAAACTTCTAAGAACCTTGAAGCAGCTCCTCAACATTGAAATAATTATCTTCACAACTGTTCAGTAACACGAGTGGATGGTATGTGTTACTATTCCTATTTTACAGATAAGTAAAATCGAGGTCAAAGATGCCGTAACATTAAATCAGTAGAAGAACCAAGACAAGTAAGCTGGCCTGCTGACTTTATACTCCATGCTAATTTACTTTCAGTAGATAAGAATTATGGTCCCTTGAAATGAATTTCACCCTGAACAAAAGACTAAGTCATTCTCTTGGCTCCTGGAGGCAACAACAGCTTCAGAGGAGCAAAATGGCTAACAGCTTGGGCTTTGGGGTCAGAGAGATCCAGGCTCCAATTGTGTCTGTCATTTACAAAGTGCATGGTCATGGGCAGATTATTTAATCTTTCTAAGCTTTAGTTTCATTATCTCTAAAACGAGGGTAATCTGAGACTGTTAGGACGAACAAATGTGGACAAGCACATAAGCCATTTAGCACAGTGCCTGGCATAAAACAAACAAAAAAAGGTAGCCGCCGAGGCTCCGACTATTGGGTGATGTCCAGGAGACTAGCAAGAGCAATAGAAAGAGAAGGGGAACAATGTTAGTTCTTCTTAGTAGACATTTGCCTCTGGAAAGGCAGGGTATCCATATACTAATTCGACTGACCTTTCTATTCTTCTCTCCTACTAAACAATCCCACAACACACCCCATATCAGACTTAATACTGTTCCTCAAACATACCCCGCTCTTTCCTATTTCACAGCATTTATCCAGGCTTGCTTCCCTCTGCCTAGATTACCTTCTATCAGACTACTGGATCTAGTTCAAAGTGCTATTTTTCAATGCAGTCATAACTTGTATCCTTCCCCTCAAAACTTCATAGCTTTAAAAATTCTTCCTATGTTGCTTTTCATACTTTCCTCTGCATTTTATAATTAACCAAATGGTTGTAGAACTTTAAATAAGAGCTCTTTGAAGGTAGAGCAAATATTTTATTAAGTTGTATCTTCTGTAGTATCTAGACAGGTTTCATATATAGATGAGCAATATTCGTTACTCTAATAAACTGGCTTAAATACTAAATGTAAAGAGACGGAGATCTTTTATCTAATATGGGCAACTATTAGAAGGACAATAGAATTCCATGGAGGAATATTTCTTCATTAAAAGAAGGAAGAAAAAATAATTCTAGCAATTTTATTAAAGGGATGAAATCAGCAAGACAAGTCTTAGAGGAGATGTGGTAAAACAGAAAGATCCCTGGACTAATAGGAAATATATGTCCCATAAGCTGTGTGAGTCTCAATTTCCTTATTTAAAAAGTGAAGGAATTAGTATTGATCACTTTTTCTCAAAGGAAATTTTATGTAACATTAGTATTATGAAAAAATCTGTAAAAAAAAAAAAAAAAAAAAAAAAAAGACCCAAATAAGTTTGGGAAATGTTTTACCTACATGCGTATCACTCTTGAAGGTGAGTAATATAGTCTAGTGTATTAAAGGCTCTGAGAAGTTCTGCAGTGAAAATATATTTTAATTTCTCTTAAATAGGTTTTCCTCAAACTTATTTGATCACAAAGGAATTTTTAAAAACAAAACTGTATTTGATAATATGTAGGAAACTTTGTTCTGGATACAGGGCTTTCATAGATTTTTAGTAGCTTTACCTTTGTTAAAAAAAAAACTCAGATGCAGGAATATAAACAAATAAGTAAATTAGAACTGGAGAAGCTCTAGTTAAGGAGGGGAAATAAGCAGCCAAGAACCCATTCACTCAGCCTCTACTACCTATATTCCTTTCACTTCAGAAGTACCAAGGTACAGTTTACAAACCATTTGCCTGGAAGAATCTATGAGACTGTTTTGTGTCAACTAGCAAATTGCACAGAATATGGCCCTCCAGCCATACAACATCCTGGTTAAAATGGCAAAACCCCTAGGAAGAAGAAGTGAGAAGCCATCAAGAACACTGTGACAGTGGCAGATGTGTAGTGCACGCAAAGAAGAAGGACCTCACTCAGGTACCATAACTCTAATGTGTAAGAGCAGATAAAGTTATCTAGATCAGGTATCAAAAACCAAGGAGTATCCAAGTACTATATATTCATGTCTTTTTGTCCCAGATAAAGTATAACACAAAATTTGCAGAGGTGGGACTATAGATACAGGGTTTGTTATTCTTGGGATTCTTTCTATCTATGACGAGAGAGAACGGGAGAGTCCAGGTCTTGGGGCAATCTAGCAGGGATACAAGCATGTATCACCCCCTTCACACCAGGTGACAGTGTCCATAGAAGGTGGGGAGAGTTTTGGGAATACTCAAGGGGTCCAGACAAGTAAGTAGCCAAGAAAGAAGTATAAAGCAACAGAAAGTGCATTATTAATGCTAAAACCCATCTTGTATGTCAATGTATTTTTTCACAATAGACAGAACCACTTGCTGGAAGCTCCTTACGATGTAAGAAAGGAGGCAAGAACAAACATTTTCAGCTCTAACATGTCCTAAAAAAAGACAAATTCTCATAAAATCTAAGAGACTAAGTTACTGCACCGAGCTTCTAAATTTTAAGTCATGTTTCAAATAAACAATTAACATTAGAACAAGGAATTTAATGTACTGTTCCCTAGTCTTCATTGAGAAAATGCTACCTACAGTATCTTTAAAAAAAGTTTTGCTAAATTTTAAAATATGACTATATATACCAGTTGGAACTGTAGCTTACCCCAGAAAGATTTCCCAGAACCAGTTTTACCAACTGCTTCACATAGGAAAATGAAGGTGCACAATTGCTATTCCTAATATGGGCACTGCAAGCATCCAGAACAGTCCGAACAGAAACTCGAGCGTAAATAACATCTTCACACATTCCAAGCAGGATGCTGTTGAGATGATCTCCAAGCTTGATAGGCTGAATATAAAGAAAGGAAAAGCAACTTTGAAAAGTGTATGTACATCTTATCCAACATGAGACAAGCCATTTCAGGAGTCCCAGGAAGCACACCAAACACACTGCAAATAATTGGAGGAAAGGAACTCCTTATCTAGCAGCATATATATTTTACTACATTTTACCTTTTCATAACCCCAAAAAAATTATTAGCAGAAGATGGTTAATGTAACTCTCCCAAGATAGGAAGTGTTACAGAAAAATTCAGGTGTTTTGTTTTTTTTTTTTGTATGATAAAGAAATGGAATTCCTCAGTTATTCAAGTATTTTGGTAAGCAGTTCTCTGAGTGAGTGAGTGAGTGTGTGTGTGTGTGTGTACATACATTTTGGGTGAATAAATGATTTCCTAACAGTCAAAAAAAATGTAATATATTCAATATATTAAATATAATTTGACACTGATGATAACTTAGATTTCAAATACTACAATGACTTAAGATCATTTAAATATAAGTTCTCATTATGCTGGTGAAACACAGAAAGTGTAATGTAAGATTTTTTAATTAGTTGACATGATTTATAGAATATTCTATCCAAATGTCCAATAAGTATACTTAAAAATGCAAATTAAAACCACAAAAAGAAGCCACTACACAACTCAACAGAATGGCTAAAAATAAAAAGACTGATAATTTGAAGTACTGATAACAGAAAAGCATTGTTTGGTGGGAGTTTAAACTGGTACAACCACTCTGATTAAGCAGGCTTTTCCTGTGACCCTTCCTTTCCACTTCTCATACATTTGGGTATTATGTCATCCTTTAGATCTCAGCTTGGATGCAATGCGCTTTAGTAAACTCATCCTAATCCTCTAAGTCTAGTTAGAGGCTCCAACTCTGGTTTTCCACAGCACCCTCCATTTCCCTACCATAGCATTCACGCATTGTTATAATTGTCTAATTTTTTGCCTTGTACCCTGGATGGACCCCACAGTCATGGGCCATTACATTCCTAATGTCTAGTACAGTGTCTGACATAAGATAGGGGGCTGAATGCTTTTGAAATGGTTATTTAGTATTTGCAAAATGATTATGATTTCTGACAGCAAAATATGAGTGAAAGCTTATGCTTTCTCTCCAATTTATATATTATTGATATTTACTTAATTTTTGGCTATCTGAAGAGTATAAAGTGTTAACCATAGGTTGTGATCACATTTTACACCTAAATTGGGTTGTACAATATATGACACCAATATTTCCAGTAATAATTTAACTTTCTCACCTATATTTATAAAATTGAAACTGAGGAGAGAAAGTAAATACACAGTATTTTTCATGATACAAAATGATACCAAACCAAGTTGAAGATGTCATCCATCTTTCATGGATCTTAGGATGTCTGAATTTTAGAATAAAAGCCTAAAATGCTTGTTACTTCTTAATTTGATGAAACAAAAAGAAAACAACCCTTATATTTTTGTTTTTGATTTCTAAATGCCTAAAATAAAACCTAATTCTGCATGTTACATCTTTGCTTTGATGAAATACAGTTCTTAAATTTTCAATTACAATTTATTACTTTTTTTTATATTGGGTCTTTAGGAGTCAATTATTTTAGAAAATAAGGACTAGAAACAGCCAAAGGTCATCAGAACCAAAAACTTCAGAAAGTGTTGCTTTAATGTTGGTGTCTACTTCCATAGGCTTAGTGAAGTATGATTTTGAAGTGTTAAGGAAAAAAAGTAATGAAGTATAAACTATATTTTGAGACACACTTAGAGCTATTATTCCTATGTGTCTGCATCAAAAAAGGTTATCACTTTAGTTCAAGAATTAATCATCAACATTTAGGATCCCTCTTATCAGTCATTACATTAGAAGAAATACAGTGGACTCCCATTTCTCTTGCTATAATTTTTGAAGGGGCCATTACATTTCACAGACTAAATTGCATGTAGACAGTAACTGCTCTAAGTCTAAGAACATTCTGAGAATAATAATGCCTTTAGTACTTTATTATTTCATGCTGAGAATATGACATTATTAATGTGAACAAACAGCATAGAAATGCTGGTATGCCTGATAACTTGCTGTAGAACATAAATATACAAGGAAGAGCTTTCTAAAAAGGGTAAAGTTGTACAGATGTGACAATTTGACTTACTTGGCTCTGGGGTACTTCGTGATCAGCCCCCCAATACAATGTCATTCCAAGAGAATAAATATGGATCTAGGAATAGAATTTAAAGAATCATTTTATGGTAAAATAAAATTTAAAACTTTAGCAAGTACTAAAAAAACAATTTAGTGAGTACTGTATATTCATGACTTTTTTTTTTTTTTTGGTCCCAGATAAAGTATAACACATGATTTGAGAAAAATCGTCATTTCATATTTTACATAAATGTGAGAGCTTAAAATAGAAAAGAATGGAAATTATCAGAACAGATTTTTCCCCATAATTCCCCAGCCTATCATCTATGAATAATTTTGTTACTTCTTATTTATTTTAAAGTTTCTTTATGCAAACTCATGCAAATATATTTTCTTTCTTTTTTCTTTTAAATTAAGTAATCTCTATGCCCAATGTGGGGCTCGAACTCATGACCCCAGGATCAAGACTTGCATTCTCTATACACTGAGACAGCCACGTGCCCCACAAATACGTATTTTTATGAATGCCAGAAGCTTTAAAAATTACTTTGCACTTGCATGTTTAATTTAACAAGAGATATATGTGATATCATTTTATACATGCAGGTATTTCTCTTGAGTTGATTCTCTGAGATTATGGATTAAAGGGTAAATCATCTGTAATTTTGATACACATTGTTGGATTCCCCTATACAGAATTTGGGGATGCAAAAAATCCATTTTGCATTTCTGCCAGCAACATATAAGAGATTTTTTTCACAAGCCTTATCTATAGAATGTGCTACAAAGTTCTGATTTTTGCCAATGTGAAAAGAGAAAATAATCTGATGGAAGTTTTTTTTTCTTCCCCACTGAAGTTCTGATTAGCATTTTTCTTTCTAAGAATGGATGGGGTAACAGATGGAGAAAGAAGCTGGGTGAAAAAAGATTTTTTTGCATTGTTTGCATGCTTCTTAAAGATTAGACAAATAACAACACATTTTTATGTTGATAGGAGTGATCCAACGGGGAAAACTGGAACTGCAGGAGAGAGAAGAGGTTGTTGGGAGAAGACTGTTGAGTAAGTGGGAGGAATGGAAGCTAAACCACAAGTAAAGGAGTTGGCTTTACGGAGGAGCATGCATGGTTCATCTGGGGTAAGGAGACAGAGAAGATGGGAATTTATGTGAGAGATCTGGTAGTGGGATCCTGGGAAAAGTTGCTCCTGACTGCTTCTACTTCTTTCCTGTGAAACAGGAAGTGAGATGAAAGTGAAGACAGTTTGGGGTGCCTGGGTGGCTCAGTCGGTTAAGTGTCTGCCTTCGGCTCAGGTCATGATCCCAGGGTCCTGGGATCAAGCCCCGCATCGGGTTCCTTGCTCAGCAGGGAGCCTGCTTCTCCCTCTCCCCCTGCTTATGTTCCTGCTCTCTCTCTCTCTCTGTCAAATAAATAAATAAAATCTTTAAAAAATAATAATAAATTTAGAAAGTGAAGACAGTTAATCTCATAAGTAATCATTTCCCATTTTTCCTCCTGTTAAGAAATTCAGAGCTAAACTTTTAGCCCACCTCTATCAATATTGCATAATCTTACTATGTGCATTTTTTTTGCACCAGTCTTAACTCCAGCACTGTCTTATTTTCTTGCCTTTTATTTTCATTTTGCTCTTATTTTCTCACCTTTATTTTTTTAATTCTCTAAACTGTCTCAAATCCTCTTTAGAAACAGATGAGGTATGCACACAAAAAACTGGGTATCCTTCTTACAATTTCATAGCACTTTAACCTACTCCAACTTTGTCTGCTAAATTATTCCAAATCTCAGATTAAAAAGTTGTTCTTTTCAAAATTTTCATTGCTCCCAATTAAAAAAAAAAAAAAAAAAAAAAAACCCCAGTTCTTTATAATGACAAACAGGGCTCACTCTGACTTGCTTCTACCTCCTTTTTCTAGACAGATTTATAAGTTTTCCTTCTGTTATTACTTCTTCATGTATCATAACTGAAACACTTCAGCACTACTAAATAATTCTCTGTTGCCAAAATAAATCCTGCTGTTTCTCAATTTTTCTTGAGCAGTTCTTTCTTATCTGTCAATAAAATTCCTACACTATTATTGATGGTCTAGAGATGTATACCATATAAATTTTCCCAAACAGGATAAAGCATTCTCTTTCATGTAGTTATATTTCATTTGTATCTCTAATGAAACAGTTAACTAATATTGCCTATAATATAGTTAAGATGTGTCCATGTTTGTGTTCCCTGAGGAAGTCTTTTTTATACATCTTACAATACCTCTTGGCAACTAACACAGAACTTGTATATAGTATATAGTCAATATATGCCTGCTGAACTTAATGAAATGTACGTTAGGTTCAAGATAGCATAGTGCAGGCTATTTGTATATTTCTGTTCAGATTTCTTTTCAAAGAACTTCATATGTGAACACCTTTTCAAAGAACCTCATATGAAAAACACTTTTCATGGCTTTAGCATAAAGAACTAATTACATATTCAAATATATTTCTCTTAACATGTTAATATTGATTTATGATTCTCTGAGTGCTTAAGATTCTTTACTATATTTACTGCTCAATATGCTAAATGAGTTACTATATTTTAATACTTTTTATACATGACTATATAAAATTAGTAGCACAATTCCTAAAACTAGGTTATAAAATTGTATACTTGCTGATCATCTATATATATAGTATAATGATTAATTCTATATGGCAATTTGGACCACAGGATGCCTAGATAGTTGGTCAAACATTACTCTGGGAATTTTTGTGAGAGTTTTTGGATGAAATTAACACTTAGTTAAGTAGACTGAGTAGAGCAGATTGCTCTCTCTAATGTGGGTGGGCCTCATCATTTGAAGGCCTGAATAGAACAAAATGGCTTCCCCATTCCCGAGGAACAGAAAAAATATATATATTTTAAAGATTTTATTTATTTATTTGACAGAAAGAGACACAGAGAGAGAGGGAACACAAGCAGGGGGAGTGGGAGAGGGAGAAGCAGGCTTCCCGCCGGGCAGGGAGCCCGATGCGGGGCTCGATCCCAGGACCCTGGGATCGTGACCTGAGCCAAAGGCAGACGCTTAACGACTGAGCCACCCAGCCGCCCCCAGAAAATATCTTTCTGTGTGACTGCATTTGAACTAGGACATCAACTTTTTTCTTGCCTTTGGACTTGAACTGAAACATCAGCTCTTCCTGGGTCTCAGGCCTGCTGGCTTTCAGGCTACTACACCATCAGTTCTCCTGGTTCTCAGGCCTTCGGAGTTGGAAAGGACTAGAACAGCTAGACTTGGAAAGTGGGACTTAAGAAATCCAGGCAATTAAGTGGATATGTGAAAAAGGAGGAGTCAGAGATAAAGATACAATGAAAATGTGACTTGGGTAGGAGGGCACTTGAGTGAGCTAGTTAATATAACTCATGGGGAACGGAAATATATTTTTGTCTTTATAGGTATAATGGGTTGGAATGTAAACTCCGTAAGTGGAAGGAATTTGTCCCACTTACCACCCTATCCCAGGACCTAGAACAGCACTTAACATATACTAGAAATATTTAGTGGGCTTTACTTTGTGCTGGATACTGTTTTAAGTACTTTACAGGTATTATTTAACTTTCTGATAACCCTAGGAGGCAAGTACTCTCATTATCCCTTTACATATAAGTCACCTGAGGCGTAGAAAGGTAAGCAAGTTGTGTGGGGTCACATATCTTTCAAGTGACAAAGCCAGAAATTTTACTCAGAACCCACACTTGATACATATTTGCTGAAAAATAAAACGGGATAATAGTGAAAACAGTCATCACTGAGAAGGCTCACAGAGTACCTTCCACCTCTACGTCCATTCTCTAAAGAGGAGATGTTAAGTCTTCGAAGATTTAGCTTACTGAGCATAAGACACTGGGTAAGGTACTGCAGTCTGATATGCAGATACCTCCCACCCAGTGATTTCTGTGGAGAAGTAAGAGCTGCTTTATGTGTGCTACATAGCTCCTTTTAGCAAAACCCCTTGGCATTGTGTGGCTATGCATTTAATAGCAACAAAGCATAAATAGCTGTGGGTGAAAAAAATCCTCAATTGTTTCTACTCACTCAACAAATTTTCAGAGCCTCTAAGTGGCAGATATGACATACAGCAATGGTTCTCCAACTTCAACACAGATCAGAATCATCTGGTAAAACACAGACACAGGGTCCTACCTCTAGGGTCTCTGATTTAGTAGATCTGCTGTGGGGTCTGAGAACCTGCTTTTCTCACAAGTTCCCATAAGATGCTGCTGCTGCTGGTTGGAGGACCACACTTTGAGAACCACCAGTATAGAGCAGAGGGGTTACATACAATGAGTAGGACAGGCAGGGTCCCTTCCATCTCAAACCTTCTATTATAGCAAACAAGACAAGATAACGTGATGTACAAGACAGTATTCAGAGGGTACAATTAGTGTAAAAGAAAGCTTTAGATCTACAGGAAAAGTTAGCCAGGCAATGAGGGGATGAGGCAAGAGCTGAGATGGCATGAAAGAGAGTTGGAGGCTGAAGGAAAGGAATATGCAAAGGCTAAGAAGAAGAAAAGCACGTAGCGCATCCAAGACATTGAAGTAAGTCCAGAATAGCTGGAAGCATAGAGCTTGAGATAAAGAGTGCTCAGAGGGAAGGCTGGTGCGGTACACCCTCAAAGGCCATGGTAAGGAGTCTAGAGTTTCTTAAGGGAAATGGAGAATCTGAGTAATGTTAGGCAGCAAAAGGACAAGAACAGATATGGGGTTTCAAAAATGTACCAACTGTAGTTTAAACAACAGACTGGACAGGGTCAAGACTGGAGGCAGGGAGAGGATTAGAAAGTGTTTGCACCACTGGTCATTCATGATGGACTGACAAGGTATACTCACATTGTTGTATACCAGATCTCTAGAACTTCTTCATCTTGCAAAACTGAAACTCTATACCCACTAAACACAAATTCCTCCTTCCCTCTCTTATCAGCTCTGGGTAATCATGTTTCTACTTTCTGTTTCTACTGTCTGACTGCTTTAGATATGTTACAGGAGTATAATCATACAGTATTTGTCTT